TAATTTCTTGCTCCCAATTCGTTGCAGAAAGAGGTTCATATTCCCTTGAAATAGGAGAATGATGAGCTATTGGGTTTGCTTTGTTCTTTCTCTTGGTGACTTAACTACCTCTGAAGGTCTCAGATTTTTTGTCGAGCTTATTTTCTTGTATAATGCATCCTCAACAGATGGTGGAGTACAATGGAAGCAGTATCATACTGCATGTACTATTATCTTTTTCTTGATAATTGTTGGAGCTGGAACAAAGATAAATATGTACTGAGCAAGCTTGTTCACATCCAAAGTTCTACACAAATCTAAGTAAAAGAATTCAGAAATCTATTGTAAGCGAGCACTTCAGTCTTGCCACTAAGCCTAAAATATAAATTCGCTGTATCTTTCCCATTATATCTCTTTTCTCTCAATAAACCTGTTTATCGCAAAAATACTTTGATTGCCACGCTATTCAGGAATAATATTTGGGAGGATTAGCTATACACTTGGAATTCAACATAAGATCATTCCGTCGAGAATAATGTTCACAAGAGTCCTTCAGCAATATGAAACACCTCAAACATACTGGAGTAAGGTACAAAATTATAGACATTCTTCTGTACGACTAAACCTAGGAGGGATAAGCATTTCCATAAGTGTATATTAATGGACCCAACAGGGTATATGAATGATCATCAATGCTATAACATAAAGGTGAGATTTTTGCTACAACTCCGCAATAGTACCACAAATACTACAGTACTTGACAACATATTCCAATAAAGTCAATGGGAAAATAAAAGGGTATAACATAAAAATTCAATCAAAAACTTATATTGACGACATATTTAAGATCTAACATGTGATTATTCAAGAATCAAACCCCATAATGATCAAAACTTAAAACCTTGGGAATTTGCCTAATGGGTATCGAGAAAAATCATATTTTTGAAAAAGGGTGTCAAGAAAAAGTTGAAGAAACCATGGAAAACAAACCTTGCGATTGATGAAAGTGAACTGAGAAGAACATCCTTGGCAATGAGAAGCATCAACTACCCAATTATTCCCTCTGAGTGATGGTTTTGAAGGTAAACCGATCTTCTCCAACATTTTCTTCAATCTGTTACTTTCAAAGTAAAGAAAAAGTAAACCTCAAATAGGAAGAAGAATCCTTCGCTGATTCACTTTTTCTGAAATCTTGTTAAAAACGCCGAGTGGAGCCAACCGAACGACGACGTTTACGTGATGTTTCGGCGAAAGTAAGAAAGAGAAAAAGAAATCAAATACCTAAGAAGAATTGTTTATTTATTTATATTTATTAAATAGTTTTAATACCTAAGAAGAAATTGCTATCCTTCTAATTTCTATGTTGATACTTTTTTCACTTAATTCTCAAAAATTAGTGTTTTGTCAAGCTTAATTCAGTTCAAAATATTAACGTTTTAGAAAAAATAATATTATTTATAATAGTTTTCTAACTGAATTCTTACTGTTCTAATTAATAAAGTGTTAAAAAGTAAAAAATTAAAAGGAGATAAAGAATAATTTTAGACAAATTCTAATGGTTAAGGCTATTAAACCAAACAATATATATATTGAAAATATGAAGAAAAATATACAGCACTTTATGTGTCTAATAGTAACAATATGTTATCTTGATATGTCTATTTCTAGATATAATAACTTAACAAAATTATATGACTAATAATTATGAATTAGATATTGTGTGTGAAGCTTCACAAATGCATCTCTTCAATACTACTCTTTATACAGTGAATTAGTTACACAATAATTTCTTTTTCCACAATACTAACCTTTTTTTTATATACACACTATATCGTATAGACCACATAAGAAAGAAAAAAAATCTTATTTATATAAAAAAAGATAAAGTATAATTAGTTACACATAATAATGAAGGTATTGATAGAAATTTTACTCCTCACACATTACATCTTATGTTATCTCAATTTTTATGATATTTTGATGAATATGCCCAATTTTTATAGGAACCAGCGTATAACAACATCGTTGCACATAATTATATGAAATCTTAAAAGGAATTGGCCTACAAAAACTTGGACCAAACTTCTGGTGAATTTATCACTCTATTTTGGGAACGGATACATCTGGCCCAATTTTATCCTAAGGGCCTTGGCCCATTCATTTGCAAAACCGGAATCTTTTATTTCTTTTTTCTTTTTTTCTCCTTTACCACTTCTCATTGTGGAAAAAATACATAATAATACTATAACAGGGAAGGAATTTGATTAGACAAATTCTACCAGGATTGCATATGAATACTATGCAAAGTGCAAATATTATAATACGGTTCTCTAATAATCACTAAATTATCATGTTTGTCATATTTGGATTATTCCATTAAAATTTATGTATGTTGTGTATCATTTAAACGTAGTCTGATTTTAATAGGATAAAGCGAGATTTAGATTAATTAATAAAGGAAGCAGTATGAAATGTAGCAGCATTTTGATCTCAAAACTACTTATCCGTACACATAATAATAATAGTAAAATATAATTATATCCGCATAATAAATGTCTATAGTATCTTTGTAGTGGAATACATTGTATTCGTGCACGTACAAGAAATACATTTTACTCACATATGCTTAATGAATGTATCCACATGTAAACAATTTTCACACCTAACTGTATTCGTGCAAATAACAAATATATTTATGTGTATTTGCTTGAAAATCTCAAATTATACTTCTATTATCTTTTTAAACTAGCAGTGTCACTTGATTTTTGATGATACGAAAAGGCTTTTCACTTTGTTGACTCATAAATGCACACGGAGTCCGATTGCCTGGGAATTGCGCCTAAAAAGAGAATCACAATAATCAAAGATGTTTGTTGTTGGAAACTTCTAAAGCCAAAACCAAGATGATTAATTTCAAGGATGTTTGCTTCTCTTAGGGTTTGATTTTTGAAGTTCCCTAGCTTTTCATTTAATACCCCTCCCTTCTCCATCATGTCCTGTTGAAAATATAACCACTTCTTTCTTTTTTATTAAAAAAAATCTCAAAGCTAAGATCGAAACCCTTTTGGGTACCAATTAATCAATTATCATCTTATATTTCATGTTTGGATTTGCTTCTTTAACGTAACATAGCAGCAACTTGTTTTGTTTGCCTCTTGACTCGACGAAGCTCTTAGTTCCAACAATGTTTTAGATTATTATTATTTTATATGCATAAACCCGCATGACATGGTTTCATTTTAGGGAAAATTGTATGAAATATCAAATTAAATGATATAGCCATAGTTTATTTTATTTGTAATTCGCAGCAAACATCTTATTTTTTTACCATCTGATTCGGTATACAATTAGTCATTTTCGGTATACAATTAACAATTTTATACATTTCGGTATAAAATGTATAAAATGTGTTTGTGTTTATATAAAGCGAGAGAAAAATGTATATACAAATACAAATACATATATTTTCGTCTTATTCACTTATAATTATACAAATACAGATATTATTATACAAATTACAATGTATAAATGAATTTATATAAAACTGAACAATTTGTATAAAATTGGATGTATATATTTAATTATACAAAGCAAAAGCTCATAGCAAACATAGAATTTGCTATGGAGCGCAATTATGCAAACTATAACTATAACATACAAATATAATTTTTATATTTGCTATATGTGAAAGTTGCTCATAATTTTATCCTTGAGAAACTTTTTAAAGTGTACAAATGTTATACAATATATTTACGGTTGCACGTTTCAAATATACATATGCTATGACATGCTTAACCCTTCTTAAATGGTATGTTGATTCAAACTAAGTCACATAATGCAACACACTGAGCAACTCTTTTCTTATTAGAAAATTAAGTCCAGTTTTACTCCTAATAAAATAAATATGTGGCCATAGCTTACAAGTTGCAACAAATTTTTCTCGAATGTTCATCTTTATAATGTTACAACTACAATGGGGAGATGAAGAAGAGTTCTGGTGACATTTTTTTCCATCAGTTGTTAATTATGAAGTAATTAAACTTCGTGCAATATTTTACTCTATTTACCGCAGCCTAGGAAGCAAAATATTGTCTAGGTGTTCCTGTTGCTCAGATCTCTTCTATGTGATGTTGTCTAGATCAAGAGCCATAGTTATAATTTTTTGTTTCTTTCTTCTTGTTGATATACACGTGTTCAAAGAAAATTTATGCCCCAGATTATAAAAATGAAACTTTCCATGCACCTAAAATCTGTAATACCTAAATAATTAACAATATTGAAATTAAAGCATAGTGTTAGCGAGCCCCACAATTGTTGTGCTTGTAACGAGCCGCATTAGTCGCTGGGAGATTCTGTATTAGAAAAAGTCTTGGCACACTACTCTGTGTAAAATTATTCTTTAGAAACATCCATCAAATATATTATTAATATACTTCTCTGGCTCCAAGATTAGACAAAGACAAATACAAAAGACAAAAATCTTATACTTAGATAACTATTTTTCTTTCTATCACTCCCAGAATCAATGAGAAATTTATGTTCATGACTATTCCACTCAATGAAAAAATAATGATTTTTTAGTAGTGTATTTTTTTCTCCTAGTTACTCCTCTATACTAGTAAGAGGTCTTAACTGTCAAATAAAAGCTTAATAAAAAACACTTTCATTCTGGTTTTTCCCTCTAGAAATGTTTGGAGATCAGTACTCCCTCCGTCCAAATTATGTGTTTTACATTTAAAGTCGATTAAAAAAGAATGTTATACTATTTTAATTAGAATCAATTTGCTTTTAAACTTTTTATTTTAGGGTTAATAAGATGATTAATAGCCTCTATGACTTACTCTAAATCAAAAGTTTTAAATGTCTTTCTTTCATTTTATGTCTAGTCAAACACCTAACATATATTGAGACGAAAGGAGTAGTTAAGAAACACCTTACATATATTGCTCTTTAAGGACTAATATATACATTGCACTGCTTGCTTTTGAAAGACTACATTGATTCATATGATCACCACATAATTAAGAAAAAATTGAAGTCCTTGTGACTGAATATCTGAGCCTGTTCTGCATAGTGACTAATGCACAAGCTGGAAAGTTTTCATTTTGAGCTATTTCCTTCTGAGTTTCTTCAGAGAGCTTCTCATAGTTGAGCACGCAACATATCTTTATCTTTTCTTCTTCACATAAAACATTAATATGTACCTGTTATAAAATCAAGAGCTTAACTTCATTCTATGTACTCATACTGTAAAAAAAATATTTACATAAACATATTCACTTTAAAAGCACTTTTTAATGTTACCTTGAGGTACATATCTATGGCAATATAAATGTTGTCATATGATTCTCTTGCAATATCCGGCATAGCCATGGCCAATGCCAAGAACTTTGAAGGTTTAAGACGAGGATCAGGGGCCACTTCTATGATATAAAGATCAATTAACTCAACAACTTTCTTCACTTGATACATTAATAATTTTTCGCGGCTAATGGAGAGGAATGTGTCCAGCAGCCTCAGAATTAGATTGTTATTGTAAGCAATTTTTTCACCAGCTGGAGAAGGAACAAGCAAATCATCCAGTTTAGCTTTATCTAGCTGGGAGCCAATTAGATGTTCTAATTTCCCTATTGAACATTTGCTCATTTTCAAGGTAAAAGACGCCTGTAGAATGTCGAATAGACCCCTGATAGATATGAAGTTGCTATCAAGAGAATAAAGGAATTTGATTACAGTCTCAATGATTCTGCATTTCTTAACTGATGAAGCATTTGGACAGTTCATTCTTTTGTAATAAAACAGGAATGAAGATATCACACGATGATCCAATTTCTTAGAAGTCATTGTGTCTATAATCATCTTGAACATATTGAGTTTCAAGAATCCAAGATCTGCAAACCACCAGGTTGCTTGACAAGTGTAAATTCCCCTGCTTTCTGTACTAATGTCCCCTGAAAACTGCATGGACGAATTGTCGGTAGAAGATGCACATGGACTAGAAATGTAATGAAGTTCAAGCCTTCCTACCACACAATCCAAGAACTCTTGTAATAAAGATGAAGATGGCATGAAAAAGATCAATTCTTGGCAATTTTTCAAGCCAATAATCAGCTCAGACCATGTCATGTAATGAATCTTTTCGAAAAAAGAAATAGTTTGCTCAACCAAACTTGGTCTCCCCTGCATTTCTTGATTCATTTCAAGGTAATTGGCAGCACAATGCAGTTGAAACATGTTAAAAGGAGTTATCTTTATCCTACCACCATTATAGCAAAACTTAACAATGTGTTCAAAACAGTCAGCACCTCCTGGAAATTTGTCGAAAATTAACTTCAGCCTTCTTGTTTTCCCTGTCAACTTACTAAATAGTTTTCTTAATCTCCCCGAGAAAGATGCAAGAATAGTCTGCACAATACAAAACATATATAAATGAGATGGTCAGTCAAGGGTGCATATTAGTCCCTAAGAAACATTTTTCTAAAGGGAAATGGAAACAATTGACAATAGTAAAATGTATGTACCTTGTCCACCAAGAATATTTCTTGTCCATTGACATCAACCTCAAGAAGACAGAAATTTTGCATAATCAAAGGATGGTTCCAAGAGCTAAAAGACAGGGAAATGAATGTTAAAATAAAACATCAACTGTGGGATGTCTAAACTTGTAGAATGATATTCAAAGGAACAAACAAAATGCTGAGAGATGGAAAATAAAAGAAGTTCCAACACTCATTTTTCTAATTCCAGTTTTAAAACTAGTTTATTGAGCAAGTTTCTCGACATTTGTGAACTTTGCTACTATGTCAATGGCTGGTCAGCATAAAATATTCTAGGAATTAGAAGCATCCAAAAAAATTACTCTATATTATTACTATTTGGAAATTTAGAAAAGAAATATAGTATTTCTTTAATTACGATTATTTAAAAAATTGAAAATAACACTGAAAATTATTGATTGATAACACTTTTTATGAAATTGCTAAAATGTCACAATTAAAATCAGATGTCCAAATTCACAAAGAGAAGGATTTTGTTTTTAGATGTGTTAACTTTACGCATAGTTAGTAGGTCCCTAAGGAGCATTCAAAAGGGCGGCTGTTAGATGGCTACACGAAAGAACGAAAGAAATGAAGTTGGTTTGACCGTAAAATTCATGTTTGTCTATTGAAGCGAGTTGAATGATCAGACGGAGACTTGCCTCATCTTCTCTAGTATGAACCTTGCGAAGAGAAAAAGATGTTGCTCCCCTTCCCTCTTTCTTTTTCCACTTTGCTAATCTTCCCCTCTAATGCGGGCTAGAATCACAATGTTTTTTTCTTTGTTATTCTAATTTTGGTTTTAGTTATCAAAGTCTTTCGTACTCCCAATATTGTAATTGTTTTACAAGCGAGGATGTATGTTAAATTCTCTAGAATTATTGTAATTCAGATCCTCCACAATTTACAGTAGTTGTTGATGATTTTTCTACTTTTTGCCGTCAATTTTGGATAGTGGGATAATTAAGCTGACTTTGAGATAATTAATTTGCTCCCACTATAACGAGCAGAACTTGTTTCACTTTCAGGGGAATACTGCAAATTCCAAATATTAGTGTTTCATACAGATAGCTAGTGTGAAACTTTTAATTTGGAAAAACGAGTTTGACTAGCTAGGTTCTTTTACGGAAACATAACATGTTTTTTTTGAAAGTTTAATTTAGTGAAATTCATATCTTCTCTTATATCTCTAGTACTGTATATCTATAAATCGTTTCTTTTATCGTATTCATCTCTTCTTGAGCTGAGAGTCTATTGAAAACCGTCTAGATGAATGAGATTTCTCCACTCTTAATTAGCTGTTGAATGAAGAAATTTCTGACAAGAAAATAAGTCTAATGCAGTGATGAATCCAAATTAATCAAGCCAGTAGAATATTGAATATCTAGGATTATACCCAAAAAAAATTAACAACTATATTTGTGTGGCTATACAAAAGGACATCCAAGAAAATGGAAAAAGAAAAAAGAGTAAAAAGAGAACACGGATGATAAAGGCAAATATTAAGGGTTGAATAGCATGTACACTTTTTTTAAAGCAGGAAAATTACAACAAGGGAAAGGTATAAACTTTTTATGAATATTAGATTTTACAAAATCTGAATCTCGTTGCAATTTGCAATTACAATCTCATTTTTAAGTATTAAATGCTAAAGCTGGCATGTCCACTATGCCCAATCAAATACTAATTTAATAAGAACTCTATAAAACATTGATTAAACAAAAATTTATTCACTAACTCTCTTTCTGAATCTTGACATCAGAGAAAATAAAAGATTCCATCATTTTCCTTAACCTTTGAGCTCAATTAGAAAACTCAAAAAGGAGTAGATAAGCCAGATGAGCTAAATTAGTATATACATTGTTTATAATCCAAATTGTGGTCAATCAAATAGTTAGTGAAGAGAGAAAATAGGTAATTATCTAAGTCATGGTTAACAAAGTTATTTAATAATAATAATTATTATTATGATAGTAATAGATAATAGATATCCACACAATCGAGATCAATTATCATTTATATATAATGAAAAAAGAAAGTAGTAGCTTCACGCATTTGACATGCATTTAGATTTTGATAATCTTTATCCATTAAATGCAATCCACCATATCTTTATTTTATCACCAATTATTCATCACCCATCTATTACTAAAACTAAAAAGGTGGCATTTCACTATCATCACCTAAAGCTTGTGCAGCCTCCCTAAATTGACCAAATTGACCTTAATAGCTTTCTACTAAATTGTTATAAGCATTCAACAGAAGACTAGAAATTTGAGTTGTAAGAAGTATGAAGTTCTTAGCTGATTTTCTGTCCTGTTATAGTGGTTGTGTTGGTGATAATAATTGTCCCAAAATTGAGTCATGTTCTCTTGTTCAAGTAACATGCCTAGAGGAAAATACTACTTGCAGGGCTCGAAAATTGACTCGTAAAAATTCATCATCAAAGGGATTGTGGCAGCCATCTCTATACACCATTTCTGAAAATGATACCATCAAAGCACAAGAAGGGATCAAAGCCAGCACCAAGAAGATGAAAAGTTATAGACGACCAAAAACCATTTCTCAAGCTTGTTATTACAATGATCTGAGGTACGCTTATATTTTACGATAATATAAATAATCAAGCGAAATCAGCACCAGAGTTAGAATTTTTTTGAAAACAAAAATAAAAACCCAAGACCAGTGTAATTTTTTGACAAAGAGGGTTCATATGAACCCCTTGCGCCCTCTAGCTCCCTCCCTGCTTGAAATCAGAAGCGGAGGTTTCATGAGTTCAACTTAACTCATTGTTTTCTACTCAAACTACATGAAAAAATAATTAAAATGTTCCATGGTTATTATTCAAGATCATTGATTAATATTTGACATGTAATTTTGCCTTGTTGTAGGGTACAAGCTCAGTTTCAGACAAGTATTATGGCACTGTCGGCAGTAACCTTCGTGTTTTGATCTCCTTTTTCTAGTTACTGTTTCATATGAGATGTTCGTGTGGAACCACATTAGTGTCATGATAAATACATCAATGGATGAAATATGTTTAATTGTCCTTCAGTTTATGATAGAATCAATCAGCAGAGCAAGTCTTACTACTGTACTGACACTGTAATTACCTGGTTAAAACCAGAGAAGCCATTACATAATCAAAGTTCCCACATAATGCAAGATCAGCCACTGACAAGGAGATTTAATCGAAAACCAACAAATGCTCCCTAATGCACTGAAAAGAACAAGTACATACTGTGAGAATTTGTAACCACAAGAACCTAAAGGCAAAGTAATACAGTAGCTAATTTCATATTCTTTAAACCAAATTCAGCCAAGGGGCATCGCCAGATTGTGATACTGCAAGACAAATAAAACGATTCTGTTTCTAAGCTCAACGCATAGAACGATTCTGTTTCTAAACTAAACTAGACCATCAATCAGATAACAGACGGCATTCACCGTGAAATGTCAAACACCTCCAAAATTATACATCATTTGTTTATGCCATCAGGCTTCAAATCAGAAATTCTTTCTGAGAAACAAATCATCTATAAAGGGAACAAACATCATCCCTGATGATTATTATCAAACTAAAAAGATATAAAAGAAAAGGGAGAAAAAATGACTGCATTTCTCAAGGTTGAAGGTGTTAGGTCTAAAAGGTGAAGAATCAGGTTCTAGATTTTCAGCAGCAAGATCATTAAATTTTGTTGCTAGCCTATAGCACGGGTAACAATTACTACCCCATCTTGGTGTTCCTGCTGCAAACAAAACTCTGTTGCAGCCCATTAAGCAAATTAGCAATGATAAGACATTTTTCATTCGCTAATCTATGGGAGCTTAGTACCCATTAATCTGAGGCCTCTGCTGAGGGCCTGTCAATCGAGAAAAAGGGATTTGACCTCGATTAGGAAGGCTTTTCTGACCAGAAAAACGATCAGTTGTTGTTGCTGGATCAGAGACTGATTTTGAGAAGGCTGCAGCCAGCTCGACTGCAGAGGTTGCTTTTCCATACCTCGCACCAGGAGCATCAGCAGAAGCAGGTCTTGGTGGTTCAACAGGTTTGCGCCACGTTTCTGGTGAGGGCGGCCTTTCCTGTACATGTTGCTGCGGCTGATGGTGGTGGTGGTGGTGCCTTTCAGTCTCCTTGTTGTTCCTCCAGTTCTCGCTTCTCCAATTCCTCCTCTGCCCATCTCCTTTGTCGACATCTATCCTGTGATCTCGCCTATCTGCGTTCTTCGCCATCCTATGGTCAATCGGAATACTCTCTGTTTTCTCATTATGTCTGGTCGCATGCATAACTGCCTCTGCTTTGCCAGCATGTTGTTTGCCCCTTCAGACAATTATCACTTAGTTCGTCAAACGAGAAAATTTCTGAGTCATAGAAAGAGATTGCATAATCAACTCATTTACTACCTAGGATGAGGTTGCTGAAGGTCATGATTATGCATAACATCATCAATCCCGCGATTCTGCAGTATCTGGTGGCGACCACCCATAATTGAACAGTAGAGTTAACAGAAAAGAGATATCAAACATTAGGGAACGAGAAATTGAAAAGGGCAAGTACAATCTTAATTTTATTAAAGGTGATTCATCAAGCAATTACAAAAACATTGAGGTGCAAAATGAACAAATTATGTTTCCTTTCAACAACAGAAAAAAAAAAACAATAATCTTTAGCAAATATTACTTTCTTCTGCATACATAAGATCAATAACTTACCATTTCACGTGGACGAGCACCGCCAAATAATGGTTTCCTGTGCCAATAAATCATAAGCACAAAACAATGTCAGCTTTAGCTAGAATAGATGTCCTCAGTCACATCATAAAGCAAGGGCAGTACATACTGCCAAGGGAGGGAAAGAAGAGCAGAAGAAAAAGTACAGGCGAAGTGACACAGACAGGTACTTTTTAAAGATAGATAATCATCAAGCAAGACAAACCGCTGATTCAGAGTCATGGTAAAGAAGACCATCATACCATGAATATCTATCTACTTCAATATATCATAAGAAAAGAAAGACACATGCATGATACTGATCGATGCATGAGTTGTCTTGGACAGTTCATTCCTTTACCAAGTGAATCAATTTTTCAAATGGCAACTTGATCACAAAATGATCCAACAATCAAGAATTATTCAGGATGAATAATGCTTGCAATTATTTTTGAGAATTGGTAACAGTAATGCTTGC